GTCCCTGTACTTTGCTAAGCTTGTTCTAAGTAGGTGGTTTAGACCACTGAGCCATCTCACCAGCCCCTGTTTTTTTATTTTAAAGAGAATTTAAAAAACATTAGAAATAACACAGAATTTCAAAAAAGATGATGGAAATTCAACAATGGTTGTTATATTACATATTGTTGTCTTCAAAGTAGTTCATATTACCAGATATAGGCATATAAAATTGGTCAAAAATTAAGCATTAACTGTTCCTTTCAATAAACCAATAGCAGTTAGTAGTACAGTTATCCTAATTAGTGTGTGTGTGTGTGTGTGTGTGTGTGTGTGTGTGTATTTTCTCCCCTTATTTTTTTCCTCATCCAAGTTGTTCTTTTGAGATGTTTCTTTCTTTTTGACAGTGTCTATTGTACCTCTTGGGTTTTATTAGTCTTTCAAGTTCTTACACTGATATAACATTTACACATAAAGGTCTGATTTATTTCACTTAGGAGTATGGTCTTTAGTTGCCTTCATTTACCTATAAAATCCTTGAGTTTATTTTTTTATAGCTAAGTTATACTCCACTGTGTAAAAATACCACATCTTTTTTATCCTCAGTTGATGGGCATTTGGGTTATTTCCAAGATTTAGCTATGATAAATTGCACTGCTATAAACATGTGCACATGTATCAGTATCATATGATGTCTTCACTTCTTGGAAAAATATCCAGGAGAACAGCTGTATTGAATGGGCTCTCTAATTACAGGTTTTTGAGGCCTCTTCACACTGATTTCCACACTGGTTGTACCAGTCTATACTCCCACCAACAGCAAAGAAAGGTTCCTTTTGCTCCACAGCCTCTCCAGCCTTTGTTTATATCTTTTTGAGACAGGGTCTTGCTATGCAGTTCCAGCTGGCCTTGAGCTCACTTTGTAGCCCAGGCTGCTCTTGAACTTGCGATGCTTTTCCTGTCTCAGCCACCCGTGTGCTAGAATTACAGGCATGCACCACCATGCCTGGCTTTCCAACATTTATTATTGGTTGACTTCTTAATGATAGCCATCATTTCTGGGGTGACATGCAATTTCAATGTTGTTTTAATTTGCATTTCTTGGCTGATCAATGATGTTGAACATTTTTTCATATGTTTGTTTGACATACATATTTCTTCAACTGAGAAGTGTGTGTTCATTTCAGATGCTGATTTTTTGATTGGGTCTTTGAATTTAGAGACTTTATTTTAAAAAATTATTTTCCTAGATAGACATGCTTTGTCTGAGGGACAGTTGGCTAATTTTTTTCCCAATTCATGGGTGTTCTTTTTACTTTATTGGTGATTTCTTTTGATGTGCAAAACTTTTCAATAAAATGAGATTGAAGTTGTTGATTCTTGGAAGTATTTTCCATGCAATTTGGTTTATGTTTATAAACTCTGTCTACCCATATGTCTTCAAGATTTTGGATGTTCTCTTCCAATAGATTTAGTATTTCTGTTTTAATATTTATATCTTTGATCCATTTTGACTTTAGTGCATGGTGATAGACATGGGTCTAGTTTTAGTCTTCAGCATGTAAGAGCCAGTGTTTCCAGCACCATTTATTAAAGAACCATCTAGGAGCTGGTGAGATGGCTCAGTGGTCTAAAGCACCTACTTAGAACAAGCTTGGCAAAGTACAGGGACCACGGCTCAATCCTCCAGCACCACATGCCAGCCAGCCCCGCCCCCTGGTGGGCTGAGCTGGCCACACACACACACACACACACACA